TCCCCAAACATATCGCCTATAAATATTACTAATTTAGTAGTTAGTACCGTAATGTTTTGTATTTATAATTTTTGTTTATCCTAATTACTGCTTGAAATTGCGTCATTAATTTTTCTAACAACAAATATGCCTTTTTTTTTTAACTGAAAAAAAAAAAAAAAAAAAAAAAAGACAAAAGAGTTATCTAGATTTTCAGGTATAGTGGACTTTGTTCGCTGGAAATTATAGGGACTATAAAAAAATTTAATTTCTGTAAGTTATATTTGAAATAAATTTTATAACGAATTTATTAAAAAAATAACTCCATAAGTCGTATGAATTCCTTTGTTTTAGGTTCCAATATAGATCCATTTACGGATGATTTGATTACATTACGAATGATAACATCAACATTTTCGTCTTTTAGCAAATATTTCTTCTCCCATGCTTTGAAAATAGAGTATTGGTTTTTTTTAAATAGGTAAACAAAATATTACTCTTATTTCGTATTCAATTACTATTCCACATTTTAGTCGGCCACGCAACACTTTTAATAATTCCCATTTTCACTTCAGAAATCGAAGTTTTGGATTTCTGATTTGGAGCAGAATATTGCAATTATAGATTAGAAAACGAATGAGTGTGATTATTTTTTCCGGAAAAGTATTAATATTCCAAAGGCAGTTGATCAAGGCTAGTGGACACTGTCGTACAGAAACTACTTTTACACAACAGCTGGAAGCGGAAAGTGAACTCACTCCATGGAGGTAGGAAGTAAGATGGAGTCGCCCTAAACAGGTTTCTCCCGTACCCTGCTCTGAAGCACCGGCGATCCCTACGTGGTGACCAAAACATTGGGTCATTTACCATTGAGTTCTATGGAATTTGACGCTTTCGGATGTAAATATTTTGTAATTACGTCTTAAATATACATATAAATGTATATATTTTCTTTTTCTACAACACTTCAGAGTCCTAAGTATGTGAAAACATTAATATTAAAACTATGCATTATTTCTTTTCTATTTATAGAGCTTCTTCCTAAAATACTTTCTTAAATATGACAGGATTTTTGGCTTCTGAAGCATCTTTTAAATCGAAAAATGCAAGTCAATTTATAATTAATGCTCTATTCGGTTCATTTTAAATTAGAGAATTATTAGGAATTAGCGAAATACTTTAAATAAGTATTTCGCTAATTCCTAATAATTAAATAGGTATTAAATAGTACTTGACTTTTCTCTGAACATTTCTAAAAGGGAATAAAATAAGGTTTTTTTTTTTTTTTTTTTTTTTTTTTTTTTTTTTTAAGTATTATTTTAAAACTTGTAACTGAGTTATTATAAAATCTAAGGGAATAATTCTTTTAATAATACTTATCAGATTTTTTTTTACCCTTCATTTCAACAATACATATTCCAAAACGCTTTATTACGTTCTTAAGTGCGCATCTCATAGCATTTGCTTTACAATACCTTTTAACAGATTGCTTTCCAATACGAACAATTCTTGCTTAAATAGTTTTATAACGTATTTGTCAACAGGATTTCAATTTATGTTTACAATTCAATATTAAGGTTATTATATATTTAAATAACATTTATAATCATTATAAATTAGATACATTTAATAATTAGATTTCTTCACAGTACTTTCACAGTTGTTTATAAGTGAATAAATTCTTCATTTCAAATGCATTTATAAATAATTTAATGAATATTTAAGTATTTTGTCAAAGGCAGATACATGCTTTTTGCAAGTACATGCATAAATACCCATACATATTTCCTATTTTTCATTTCCGGCATGTGCAAATCTTTAATTTCTGTGCATTTACTATATTTTTCGTGTAAAGTAATTTACACTAATTTAGCATACACCCGAAAGTTTTACACAAAAAATATATATGAATATAATTTGAATGAAAATTATAAGTATTATTTTTAATACCCACTCAAAAGTCAGTTTTTCTTCAAAATTCTTCCACGATGGCATCTCTCTCTTTAGGCAGATAGCCCTTGCATGCGTTAATCTATTTAATCTGACCTATGTGCCTAATTACAAATATTTTAACGTACATAATTTTATATTTATAAAACGTGTAAGCCCAAAGTGATTATTTTTCAGATATATAAAATTAAAACGATGGGTTTAAAATGAGCAGCAGTAAAGCCTCTCCTCTAAAAAATTTTGAAAGGTACATGTTACAATAATATATGGATGTGAAAAAAATTTGTTTTATTTAAAACATTTTTACGTTTGGAAAATAAAATAAAAGTAGCGAATACTCTTATCAAGTGTATCGAAAGACGTATACAATTTTAAATGTACCGTAAGGTATTTTTCATTCTTTAAGCATAACATTTTTCTTAAAATCTATATTTTTGTAGTGCAACAGCTTATAATTTTATAAAACAAATTCATAATCAAAAATCGCTGTTGCTAAACTATACAAATTGCTATTATCCATCCCACTATGAATGTTTCTTTCATGCGAAAGTGTCCCTTTTCGATTTCTATGGAACTGTCGTGTGTCGAAATACTATCAGAATCTTGTCAAGCGAGCTTCTGAATGTAAACAAAGAACACCCCATCTGGTGACCCAAGCCTCAAAGCAGTGCTTACTTTTAGCGCGGGTTGGCCCCTCCTCCCTTTCCTACCTCCATGACTCACTCGACTGGACTATGCGTCTTATAAAAGGCACATGGTCGGTTGGAGACAGAAATGAATGAAAAGTAAAGTTCTGACCCAATTGAGAAATAATAGTAGTAGTATTAGTCACGGCAATTATAATAATCTGGATTTTCCTTTTTCTTTTTACTCTGAATTATTCGAAATCGTAAGACTATTAAAAAATTCATTAATGTTTCTTCATTATTGAAAATTAAGGTATTTTAGATTTTACTTGAATTAAATAAAGTTTCGAATTAAGCGATTTCTAGTTAATGAATGTTCACTGTTTCAAGACCAGTTTGTCGTTTTTGTTAACCATGCTCATAGAAAAGAATTCATTATTAATACTCGAATTCATATTAATTTCTGTCCTCGTGATATTATAACTTTATTTATCATGTGGTATTATAACTTTTAAGACGTTAAAATCAACTTGGACTGTTTTCTTTACACCTAACGGCTGATCCTGGAAGTTATGTCTCGACACTGGCTGCATTGTTTGGTACAGATACTTGTCTCTAGAGATGGTATTGCTTAACGACTAGCACAGAAGGTAAGACTCAAAATTTAAATGCTTTTCCAGCCATGACTTGTGAGGTAATACAACTAATTAGAAACAAACTATGTGATTTCTCGTCATCTTTCAATAACTGCTTGCTCGTACGCTTAAGTAAAGACGTAACTGCAACGACAAAACTCAGGCAGAACACTTTGGGCAGAAACAGGAAATTATCTATTTTCTTGGCACTTAACCGAGCTGTACCAAAGATGAGCACTAATTCTACTCTGCAAGCGGTTTGAGTAGCAAAACAACAGATAGACAAAGTAAACAAATGTTTTATTTTGTACCCGCTAAGTTTTCCTGCCCGCAAGGAGAAAAATCAAGTTCAGGTGAAAAAGAAAGATATTTAGTTTGGTGGGTCAGGTGAAAAGGAAAGATTGAGGGCAATTTCGTATTTCAGGGATAAAGCTTTATATTTTCATACGAATTTGAAAAGCCGGATTAAAAAAAAGTATTCGATAAAATAATAAAAAATAAAAGTCCCATTAAAGTACTTGTAGTAGCGGGAAAAGAGGGGGGTCCAACTTAGATAGACTCCAAACAGTGTGTAGTATATAATTTAAATTTTGAATTCTGGAACAGGTTCCAAATGAGACACAGTTAAGATTTCTTCTTAATTTTGAATTATCCTCTCCCAGTAAAATTCACAAAGCCCAGTATCAGAGCGATTATCGTGATGAGACAAGGAGCATAGGAAAGAACATAAAGCTAACAGGTAGTAAAACTTAAGTTATAATTTTTGCAATATTTGTACATGTGTAGAGGTAACGTAAAATAAATTTCACATGTTTAGATAGCTATTCATATAAAATATTGAATTAATGCAAGAAAGATCTTCAAGCATGCCTTTCTTCTACAAGTACTGAACGTTATCACTGAAATATGTGGAAGTAATTGCCTTTCTTGCAATCGGTGTAGCTCTGACTCCATGTATAAACTTAGAATTTCTGTCAAAATTATGTTATTACATCTTCAGAAAGGCTAAACATAAAACGAAGAAATTTGGTCGACAGTCCAAACTTATTCCCTTCTCAGCAGAAGAACAAAATGATAGCTTTCTTAACTACGGCATAGCATTCAAGTGTTATCTGTTTAGAAAAAACTACCCTTATTTAGGGTTTTATAAAGGAGTTCACATTTAAGTTCCACAAACGTGATTAGGGGTTATCTGCAGTATGACAAAGCGTGCGAGGATTATTTGCCTAAGAGAAGAGATACTTCCATTGAGGACGTTCCAAAGGAAAGTGACTCGTATTTCCGTTACACACAATGAAAACAAGGAAAACTCTCATGCATCAGGGAATTGAGCCCGAGTCAAACTACCTGTGTTCAGAGAAAATTTTGTAAGTGAATAATTTCGAAAAGCTTACATAATCGCTATTATGTAATGCTATATGTAGATCTATTAGCTGCTAAGTATCGAAGCCAGGATGAACTGACCACATTTTCTGGACTTTAACTTCTTAGCCGCCGGCAGCTTGAAGAAAAAAGATGACTTTGTCGGTATTACTAAGTTTAATAATGCTGGTGAAACTGAATGTGTAAAAAAGTTTAGAAATGGATTCATCTAGAGTCAGGTATCACAGAAGAACCTAAAATGTGCTTATTTACTTTAGTGTAATTATTTTCTTATGATTACAACTCAACATTTAAAAATTAATACTACATTTCACTTTAATAAATTAATTCAGTAAGCTTGGCGGAGAATGTATTTTTCATTTATCCTAATCTCAAAGATATTTTTATACACTTTTTTTAAAGAAATGTAAACAAGTTCGTTACTTACCCCCAGATGAATTGGATAACTGCAGTGAAACATTTTGAGGTACATTGTCATATCCACTCCACGTGCTAAGATCAGGAACATACGAAGAGACATGGCCGGAGCTATTAGGCCGAGACAGCATGCTGGAAGACGGAATGGATAAAGTAGGTGATGACTTAGAAACTAAATCTTCATTCACTTGACTCCACATGAGAGAATTAACATTATTATTATCATGACTTCGAGCATAAGGTGATATTCCTAAAAGTTTTGAGGCAGCAGTAGGAGTATTGACACCTGTTAAGTACAAAGGGCTACTGGTTGACGGTGCTGTCGGACTTTCCGTAGCATCAGGTAAGTGATGGTAAGTTATAGATGGAGTACTTACTGCGTGAAGATTTCCTGCATCTATTCCAAGCTCCCGTGTTGCTACAATACCTGAAGAAGTTGTGAGATAGTTTATTGTAGAGGGAACAAGCATATTTCTTAAAGGCAAACTGTCTACGGCCAGGTCTGAAGAATCATTTAAAGCCGAAAGAGACCTTCCAAAGTCAGCATGTAAAGGTGTGCCTAAATGATATCCCAGCCGATCGAATTCCCTAGGCGAGGCCGGACTTCTTATGTGAGGAAACGAGGAATTGTGAGGAGCGCAGGAAAGATCCAAGTTCAAACGGTTAGTAGAAATGTCACCTCCATGCTGTATGATGTGCGCAGTAATGTCTTTCTCGTGCAACAGGGAAGAATTATGATGTTGATGCTGTTGCGTATCATTCTGATTATGATCAATCTGCTGAAGATCATTATCTAGTTCACTCTCTCTCTGCATTAGTTGACGGTGCTGTAATAAAGATGAATGTGATTCAACATTTTCATCAAGCACTGAAGAATTAGCAGATTGGTGCAAACGGGAAAGATGAGAGTCTACATTTATTTCATTGCATTCACTTAAACGCTGTAAAGTACCGTGGCGAGACATTCGGGATTCATTTCTATTTTCTTCCATTATATGATGCTGCGGGTTGTGAATATGATTTTCTTGTACTCTATTATCATCTTGCACGGAGTGATGACCAACTTGAAGGATATGAGGAGACTGTTCATTACCTTCTTCACAATCCCGATGATGGTGATGTTCGTCTTGATTTGACTGCTCTCGATGAAGTATAGATGACCGATGGTTTGACATATTAATCAAATGCTCCATGGTGTCATTACCGGCAACAGAATATTGGTGATGAACATGGTTTAAATGCGATTCTTCTACTGTACATTGAGTGCACTGTGATTCCAACAAAGCGTCATCATCTTTACGCGTCTCATGAAGATGGCGTTGCATGTGTTGGTGTTCCATGAAAGTATCAACAGCATGAGGACTGGAAATTTGGTTGCTATGATGACCACCGATGGAAGGTATGCTGGGATCGCCAGGATCGTTGTTGTGCTCTACTATTCTATAATTGTCATAAACATGTTCTCCATGTTTCATAACATGTGCGCTACTGTTCGAATGGAAAGTATGATGATGATGAATATGTGGCTGCTCCTCGTGATACTGAGGATTATTTTCCAATTCTTTATCTTCTTGCAGCACTTCATTCAAATGAAGATGTTCTTCCAAATTAGGCAAATTTGTAAGTTGGTCCGAGTGAAGTTGATAGGACTGTCGTTTTTGAACATTTTCATCTGCCCGGGATTTTTCTTTCGGTATGTGTGCAGATAAATCGGTAACAGACTCCTGTTTGATGTCCGGTTCCTGCTCCGGGCTAGATCTATCATCCGAAACTTCGGAATCTCCATCTTTTCTTTCACTAGAAACCTTCTCTCCGTCAAAAGCATCTGCTTGAGAACGAGCCATTTCATTTGAAGCATTGTCTTCAATCAAAGAGGTTCATATTTTAACTTTTCTACCATTTTAATGATAGTATATTCTAAGCATATGTGCCTCTCAGGCCAAAGCGGTATTGAATGCAAAGGTTTTTTGGAAGTGTTTAAAAATCCACATGATTTTATAGATATATCAACAATGCACAGTATGATTCTGCTTAGTCATCTATTGCGATGCTGGAAATATTATTACAAAGAATCCGATTTCTTCTCATTCAAGAATATTTTCCTTCAGTAACATCTTCTTCTTATTTATGCAGTTACAACAAAATGATATTTATCACTCGAAAAAATATATGGCGATATCAGGTAAAATAACAGGAATTTCGGATTCAATCATAAAAATGCAGAGCAAATTCTCTGAATTTACAAATCATTGCCTCATTTACAAATCTAAATTTTTGGTACATGATTGCAAATAAATGAACCTAAATACGGGAATGCACTCAAAATAAATATCCAAATGTAAATTCAAAGTCAAGTTCCGCAGCAATAAATATATCTTTTTGGAGCTTCTGTTTTGTTTAGCTCTTCTGCAGACGAACTTTCGAAAGGAATATCAATGAAGATCAAAACGGTCAATCCAGGGGGTGTCTATTTCCCATGATTCACCTATAAGAAAAAGTGTTTATCAGTCGGTTGCAGATGTTTCCAGCAGTAGATGATAAAGATTTTATCTAATACTTGAAAGTCTGATAAACCGAACCTTAGCTTCCAATTCACCCTTTAATTACACACTTGTTTTATTAAATTCTTTCTCAATGGCGTCAGGTGTTCGACAATGCGAAATAATTGTTATCAGTTCTAAAATAAACATGAGAACTTCTACATTGCCAAATGACGATTATTCTATATATTAGAATAATAAAGTCGTTAAAATGTTTTACTAATCTTGCTCTACCTACTCCCGGAACATGTCGGAACTTTTAATTTATGTAAGCGTTTTATATAGCAGTGAAGAGAATTTCTGTTGTGATGTGGTAAAACCATACCGCTTTACCTCTTTTTTGTCTAACCTTTTTTTGCCATTTTTATGGTTAATATTTACCGAAAAGCTGGAGATTTTGTTCTAAAAGTCTACAATACTGTTTGAATTTTTATACATCTTATAACAAACAACTAATAATCTTCTCTAGACTACCATCCAATTTTAATCTCATAGTTCGATAATAAATATTAAATCTTATACTGAACACTAAATACAAGATAACTTAAATATCTAGACATTATCAGTGTAATTTCGTTTTATTAGTTACATTATGAGTGGTAATTTTTCAGCCGTTTAAGTGTTGCCAACTTCATTCATCGAAATTGCGAAATTTTGCATGCTATTTGAAAAATATGGGCTTAATTTTTAACTTTGTTTATAAAGCTAGGATATTAATTCTACAATATCGAAAACTTAACATTTTTGTTATAACAGGATTTTTTAATTATTTCATAAAATTAGTATTCTGTTTCTTATAAATATCTTAAAAATGAAATGGAAATTAATTGTCGTCATTATATACAAATTACTGAGCTCTATGTATTTGAAGATTAATTAGAATTTTAAACATGTTTCTGGACTGGTGTCTTGTAATCTCTCATTTGTTAACTGCAAAAGTATTTTTTCTTAGAATGCTTTAGGTATTTCATGTTTCACTCAAATTAAAATTCAAAGTATCAGGAAAGTATGATTTCTGTCATACACTGGATTAAATTTCTAAATACTAAATCAAGAAGTTATAACGTAAAGCGGGGAATAATAATGATCAAAGCAAATGCATAAAATAATTTATAAATAAACTTAAAAATATATTGAAAAATTAGTTAAAATGAAAATAAATAAATAAAATAGAATAAATGAAAGGGATAAATAAATTTTAAATTAATAAAATACAAAGCGGAAAGATGAGCAAACATAAATACTATTTTGAATTCACTTCATTCATATCTTTTAATAAACTATAAGTGCAAAATTTTTATCAGAATATTTCAAGTTAAGAAATTTTTGTTTTTATGTTTCTAAAATATTAAATATAGTAACCAATACAGCACAGCGCATAAAATTAAGAAGTGAAACTGTTTGATCAAGTTCTTGGCCAAAATTTAATTGTTAAAAGAATTAAATATGTAAAAGTACACAATCAATAACTCAGTTAAATGGTATAGCTGCTCAAAAAATTTTATCTTCTCATTCATCAAGAAGCTCAATAAAGAATGAAAAACGCTTTTGTTATTGTCAAAATATTAATACTAATTTTTAATTAAGTATTTCTTACGCTGAATTTATGAGCATCCAAAAAGAAAATAAACTTCCCAACTAATTGCCAATGATAAATTCCGTCGAGGTATTGCTCATGTACCATATAATTATGACCTTTTTCAACAGATTTGACGAGAATTATTTTGTAACACACTTTTCATGCATTTAAGAAATAGAATTGACTAAGTGCATGTCAAGGGAGAAGTTATATATATATATCTTCTCACTATATGTGTGTGTGTTTTGTGTGTATGGATAAATGAATAAATATGAATTTAAAAGCAGTTCAAAATCAAATCCAATTGCACGCTGAAAGCAGAACAAGTAACGGTAATAATGCAAAATAAATTTATATAATACGTTTAAAATCCATCCTATATGCGATTCGGAGCAAACCATATGCGAACAACAAAAACTAGAAGCACAGTGGCAAACTGCATGATAGGCTCAAACAATGGTAGAATCGTCATCAAGCGGTTGGTGCGGTTGGTGTAACGAAAGAAGTAAATAAAAAATACGCAAGTTTTTAATTAAAAAAAATTTCAAGCTTGTTTATGATTTTTATTCTATGATTTTCCAATTTTTGCCCTGTTTTCTATGGCCTGTAGAGACTGGACTGATAAAGACCCACAATACTTTTATCAGCTTTCTGAAATTATTTTAAGTATTAAACCTTATTAGTCCAAAGGGATTTGAATCCCGAAGGACTATTAGTTTCGTTTTGGCATTTTGCATCGGACTCATAAATGTCGGTTCACTTTTCAAACTGTTTGCCACAAAATGTTAGAGTCCTGCATTATATTTGAAGAAATTAAATAAATGAAAAATCTGCATAAATGTATGTATATTTCTCGTATTGTGATAAAACAACGGTACATAGAGAGTCATCCGAATTTTGAATAACGTAATCCTCCTAACGAATATGGAGCATGTGGAAGACCAAATTTGAAATTTGGAAATTTGTTTTATTATGATCGATTTCCTATTTTTAAAAACTTTGACGAATTTTTGATTAACAAACTCAAGTGATTTCAAAGCGAGCAATGGCAACGTTGTGCGGGAAAAAACATTTTTATCTCCAGCGCGCTGAGTCTTTGTATCGGAAATTCTAAAGATATGCTTCGTTTTAAAATTAAACTATTTTGCGATATTGCTGTTGCACTGGATCTTATGGTTTAAGTGCGAGGAACGTGATATTTAATAAAGAAAGGTAACACACAAAATGTTTAAAAAACGCCCCTTTGGACGTAATTTAAAATCTGAAACATTTCAGATTTTTTTTTTTTTTTTTAGTCCAAAGGGATTTGAATCCCGAAGGACTATTAGTTTCGTTTTGGCATTTTGCGTCGGACTCATAAATGTCGGTTCACTTTTCAAACTGTTGCCACACAAAATGTTAGAGTCCTGCATTATATTTGAAGAAATTAAATAATGAAAAATCTGCATAAATGTATGTATATTTCTCGTATTGTGATAAAACAACGGTACATAGAGTCATCGAATTTTGAATAACATAATCCTCCAACGAATATGAGCATGTGGAAGACCAAATTAGAAATTTGAAATTTGTTTTATGATCGATTTCCTATTTTTTTAAAACTTTGACGAATTTTTGATTAACAAACTCAAGGATTTCAAAGCGAGCAACGGCAACGTTGTGCAGAAAAAAAACATTTTTATATCTCCAGCGCGTGAGTCTCTGTATCGGAAATTCTAAAGATATGCTCGTTTTAAAACTATTTTGCGATATTGCTGTTGCACTGGATCTTATGGTTTAAGTGCGAGGAACATGATATTTAATAAAGAAAGGTAACACACAAAATGTTAAAAAACGCCCCTTTGGACGTAATTTAAAATCTGAAACATTTCAGATTTTGTTTTTTTATTTTTTTATTGTGTCTTTGTTAGTTCAGAAATAGGATGATGCATTTACTTCTTTCGTTGCTCCAGCTCCCTAATGAAGATATAGCGAAAGATGAAAATTTCTTTTCTCTACATCATTTTTGATATTGGAAATTTTGCGTCTATCATGCAGTTTACCACTGTGCTACTGCTTCTGGTTATATATATGCATATATACATATAACCAGATTATGATATGATATCGTTGTGCGCGTACGGGTTCGTAATAGATTGAATGCAAAAGTCTGATGAAAGGATAATAAAATTTATTCTTATCACAAGAAATAAAACAAAATGCTGAAATGTTTCCTCACAGATAATCGTACAATTCTAAAATATTCTAGATATTGGTACAATATCACACAGCAGTTATATTTTAAACTACTAAAACTTTAAATAGAACACATTACAAACTGCAGAGAAAGCTAATCCAATCTCACAGCGAACTCGCTACAATCAGGAATAAAAACTTAGTAAACAGATGAACTCAAATATTTTTCTCCTACTTTTGTAAGCTTTTCAGTCATGCACGAGAACATTCTGGTATTTTCTCGAGGTTTCTGGACAGTAAAAGAGTACAATTACGAGATATCTATTTATTTAATGTTAAATGCGCGTGCTCCTGTAATTTTACTTTTTCAGCATAGCTTTCTTTTAAAACTAGTCACGTGCTGCATTGCATGGGGAAATAAAACAATTTTAATTACAATTCTACTAAAAATAGCTAACTAATTACAAAATCGGTAACAGTATATATCACAGGTTATGATAATGGCATATATATATATATATACTATATATATACATTACCAGATAAGATTACGATACATATTACGTATATCATAATCTATAAATTATATTTCATAATCATTGTCTTATGTAATCTTTCATCTTTCGTAATCATCATCTTATAGAATTATATATGTATATATTAACTATTAGTAAAAGTATTTCATATATTATCTCCAAGGAAAAGAAATTCAATTAAAGCCATGAATTATTATAAGAAAATTCAATGATTTTTTTCTTACAGATTTAAATGATATCTCTTTACAGATTTTAAATGGTTTTAATAAAATAATAATAATAGAAGTAATAAATAAATAAAAAATAAATTAATAATAAATAATAATAATGTAATAAAGGACTAGATTATACATTAATAATTTAAAATACTAATACTGACTAAAAACATTTTTCTTATAATAATTCATGGCTTTAATTGAATTTCTGTTCCTTGGAAATAATATATAAAGTACTTTTTTTAATAATAAATTATTAGTTTATTACTTATCAGCTTTAGCGCAAGTTTTTAAGCTTTATAATTTACTCATAGCTACTTTTACTTAGAATATATTATATATATATATATATATATAATAATAATAATTTATTTACTCAAAAATATTAATTATATTATCTCCTAATATAAATTTATTTATATTTATTTTATGTATCAAAA